ATTGCCCAACCTTCCTTCCGAGGAGTGGCTGGTGGGTTTGAACCGCCAGCCTTCTGGTTAGCAGTCAAGTGCTTTAGCCACTATGCTACCAGAGCTCCTTACTCTATAGGTGGTGCTATTTTGTATATTAATGTTGCCACCTCACACCATGGATTAGCAGGGCCCTCTTTACTAATGGAGGCAGGGTCACCAATGCCTTTACCATTAATCAAATTGGAGAACCAAAACATAATTGGTGAGAACCCATTTAGGAAGCCCATCCTTATGATTTTGTCGCTCTAGAACGAGTCTTGGTACCAAATGTGTTAGGCTGAGTTCTGTAGAGAAACACAATCAGTAAAACTTCTATATTCATATAGAGAAAGAGAAATTTATCTTAGGGAAATGGCTCAGTGGCTTATAGAAGCCAGCAGGTCCCAAGTTCTTGGATCAAATGTCAAGCTGGAGACTTTTCCCAACTCACGCAGCTGCAGGGACTAATGAGCTCAAAGTTGGCAGGCAGTATACTGGCTGTTTACTGCAATGAATGACGAATCCAAGATCTCCAGACTGAATGGTGTATTGTTCAAATTATGCACGGACAGTTTGTAGACATCACAACAGGATCATTATGCACAGAAGAGTGTGTCTTTTCCCAGGATGTCCATAAATAAATTGGAAGCAAGCCACACCCCTATGGAAACTCCCTTTCAATGGATTGGCTGCTCAAAACATATACGTCCGATCCTGTCATGAGACTAACCCATATCACAATTGCTTAAAGCTCACAGAATTGTGGTCCAGCCAAGTTTACACAAAGGTCCAAGTATCGCCAAGTCATTATTAGTAAGTGTTCTGGAGTAGTGGGGGGTAGTTTTTTGGTTTTGAGTATATCTACTTTATTGCTATGATCTATGTCAGTGGTCTCATTCATGAATGGGAGAGGAGGATTATTGGAGGTGGTCTGTCTACCCCTCGAAATATAGCATGTTACTCTGTGGGGAAGGACCAAAACCCAAAGCCAAACTCACTGCAGTTGTGTTGTTTGTTTCCAACTCATAGCCACCTCTCCTTGGGTTTTTGACGTGGTATCTCTATGGAAGTAGATTACCCAGGCTTCCTTCCGAAGAGTGGCTGGTGGATTTGAACCACCAGCATTCTGGTTAGCAGCCAAATGCAGAGGCTCTTCCTTTTTCCTTTAAAAGACTTAGTGGGTCATAGGTCTTTCTGCTTTCTATAAAAGGGATCAGGGATATAATTTTTTTTTTTTCTTTTGTAAAATTTTTGTGATTTGGGTGAAAGTATAGAGGAAATTAATTTTCCATACAGCAGTTCATCCACTTTTTGTTTCATGACATTAATTGTAATCCCCATGATGTTAAAGCTCTCTTCCCACTATCTCCTTATTGTTAACTTTTCCCAGAGTTCTTCTTTCCTATGCATTCCTGCCCATGAGCTATCTCCCTGTACAAATACTGTTGTATTCTGTTGGATATGGTCCCTTTAGCTTTTCTTGCAGGTTTGGTCTGGTTTTCACAAATTCCTCTGATTTCTTTTTGCCTGCATGTCTTAATTTTACCCTCATATTTGAGAGACAATTTTGCTAGATATATATTTCCTGGTTGGCAGTTCTTTTTCTTCAAGTTTTTGTATTTGTCATCTCATTGTTTTCTTGCCTGCATGGTTTCTCTTGAGAAATCAGAGCTTAGTCTTATTGGTTGCCATTTGTAGATAACATTTTGTTTTCCCTGAGCTGCTCTCAGCATTCCTTTTTTGTCTTTGGTTTTGACAAGTTTGATTATAACGTGGCCTGGTGATTTTCCTTAGTGATCTATCCTATATGGGGTTTATTAAGCTTCTTGGATGGATATCCTTTCATGTTTCATGATATTGAGGAAGTTTTCTGCTAGCATGTCTTTGACAATTTTCTCTATTTTTTTTTTTTGCCTCCTATTGTTCTGGAATTTTCAACTAGACATGTTACTTCTTTTGATATCATCCCATATGACTTAAGTTTTCTTCATTCCTTTTTCTAATTTTGAGTTTTGTTCCACATTGTTCTTCCACTCTATCCAGGTGGATCCCACTATTTTTGACTGCCACCTTTTGTAGGTACTGAATTAGATGTCTTATACTGTGTTTTAGAAGGTAACCTCTCTTTCTTGAAAAATTTATGATAAAATTTGTAAGGTATTAAATTTAAAGAAATGTATTTGATAAAATATTAGGAACAAAATTGTGCTTGGTCCCCCACCCACCTTTTTTTTTAGTAACAATAGATTATTATTTTTTAATTTATTTATCTTCATCTCTAAAGAATGATATTTTAAAACAAAAACAGTCACTGTAGTACTCTATGCTCTGCTTCTAATACGCATAGATTTTTCACTCTTACCTTTTTTTTTTTTTTTTTTTTAATCATAGGATGAAGTAAGTGTTCCAGGAAGCAATTCAGCTGACTTACTGCATTGGACCACTGCCACTACCATGAAAGTTCTTTCCAATACCACAACTACAACCAAGGCTGTTCTGCAAGCTGTCAGTGATGGACAGTGGTGGAAGAAGTCTTTAACTTACCTTCGACCCCTTCAGGTATGCAATGTTACTGCTTTTTTTTTTTTTTAAATCCATTGTGTGGTTTGTAGCAATTCATTAGCACTGTCTGTTGTTTTCACTACTGTTTCATCTTTATTTTCCCTAGATTATTGAAAAATCTCTTAAGTACTCTTTGGCTCCCATGAGATAGGAAATAATTAATCTGTTTTATGTAATGCTATTATGTAGTATACTTCCAGAGAAGACAGATGGCCCATCATATCCATGGATTCTACATCCACATATTCAACCAACCATGAATGAAAAATATTCCAAAATAATTTGGGGGAAACAAAGGCTTCTAAAAACAGTTAAATGGTGTAAGCAATCCCTCAAAGACTAAGAAGGTGTGTAGAGTACATAGTATTTAAGTTGCATTAAATATTATAAGTAACCTAGAGATTATTTAAAGATGCGGGAGGATGGCGTAAGTTATATTGCAAGCACTGTGCCATTTTATATAAGAGACTTGACCATCTGTAAGTTTTGGTATTGAGGAGAGCTTTCTAAGAAATAATCCCCTGTGGATACCAAAGGATAACTGTACTTGCAAAAGCCACTGATAGAAGTTTAGGTAGTATTTGTTTTACTCGCAGAATTAAAGAATTTGTGAGATGAAACGATAATGATTTTATTGGTGCTTACTTGTTTTGGTTATATTTTCATAGACCAGTATTGTGGGAAGAGTACTAGGAACCAGTTTGGGCTATAATCAAAGAGAACAGTTTAACAGGTTCTTTCCTCCATTTTGGAAGCAAAAGTCAGAACAGGCAATATGGTGATTGAGTTTTGCTTTCTTTGACCTTTCAATTCATTGGTCTTCTGCTATCTTCTCTGTATCATCACACTGAAATCCATTAGTGTTAATACTAGAAAACTAAGGGAAAAACCATATGTCTTTTTATCACTTCACTCCATATATTCATTGAGCATCGTAGTCATTCATTCATTAAGTATTTATCAGGCATTTTCTGTGTGTAAATACCATGTCAGTCATTGAGGATAGTAGGGGGATATTTTAGTCTGCTGTTCTTCCTCTTAGGAGATTATATTCCAGTAGGAAAGAAAGAGGGCTTGAGAACACTATTTATCACACATAGTTTATCCTATATTCTTGTGATAATTAGAGTATCATGTAACAGGTATCTTTGCTAATTTACTTTATCCAAAGGAAAAATAAACTTTTTATGTCTTTATGATGGAGATAGTTTTGCAGCTTGAAGTAAGACACCAGCTGAGGTTAGGCTCCAGCCCTCCCACAGAAACTTGGAAACAGTGGTGCTATCTTCCTTAATACTTGCATTTCAGTGAGAAGGTTTCCAGGTCCTTGAAGAAACATTCATGGGTTATAAAACTGGCAAGAGGCTGACTTTAAGATTTATATACATTTCAGAAGGAGCTTTGATGCTTCATTGGTTAAGTGCCTTCAGCTGCTAACTCAAAGATCACCAGTTTGAACCTACCAGCTACTCCATTGGAGAAAATTATGGCAGTCTACTTCCATAAAGATTTACAGCCTTGGACACTCAGTA